TTTTTTTTGTACTCTACCGTCTACCTCATTTTTGACCAACAAATAATTAAATCAAATCTTCAGTGCCTCGTGTTATGAAACTCGTTTCTGCGGCAAATGAAAATCTCAATCTTTGATTTTTCAAAATTTGGATTGTACAATTTTTCAACTTTACAGGGAATGTTCTGCTCGACTGGCTCATGCACTTGTCTCAGTAACTTTGTCGCTATACAAGGTTACTGCTATCTCAAGAAGAATCCTGGCGAGAGCGGTTGCCAGTACGCCGAGCAGTGCAGCGCTGTCTGGCCAGAAAGTCGTTGCGAGAAATCGCGTTGTGAATGCCCAGAAGACGTCAACGGAATCCCATATGTACAGGCTAAAACTCGTGACGGTGTCATCTGTATCCTCCATTCGGGTGAGGACGGCGATCCCGTCCCAAAATGCCCACTGCCCGAATATGATGACGACCTTCTGACTATGCCTGTTTCGCAGTTGAGAAATCCCGCGATGACCGATCCAGATGATTCGGATGTGGAAATGGGCGAGCATGTAAATCCGCTACAATTCTGTTCATCTTCGTCAACGGATTACACAAATTTCGTCCCTAACGGTGGTGGAGCTTGTGTATATTCGCAAGATCCGCAGAGTGGAGATGGCATTTTTATCGCTGACATCTACGACTGCGTTACCTCGTCAGCTTCCATGGCGAATGTGAAGACCGCGATGGAAGGAGTTTATGACATCAGTCCAGCTGCTGATGGAATCTGTTGTCCGAATAGAGGTTTGTTTATATCTTAGAGAATGATAGAGCAACTTACCGCATTTGCCAATTTATTTTGACACAAGTTCTACATATATTTTTACCGCAAATTTTGAACATTTGGAATTTAAGTTACTTGTAATTACATTTTATGTTTCCTATCTAGTGTAAATTTTAGTTGCTCATAATTCTCCATCACCTCTTGATGGAATCAAGCAAATGACATACAGTTTGATATTGTAAAACACTCTTCACGCGACATCTAACAGATTTGAACTTGTTCTTACTCCCATTTCAAGTAATGTACCACTTGAAATGGGGCGAACGAAGAGTTCCAACTTGTCAAAAGGGGCGCGAAACTCTGAAAAATTACCGGAAGTTCCGCTGGGCATTCAGGCCACGAAATCCAGTAGCCGTTTTGAAGGTGCTGAGCTTTTTTCAGTCTGGCATCCCCTGCGAAAGTTCCGCGATTTCTCGAGCTTAACTTT